TCATGGGCCTTCCGGAGAAAGATGCTGCTGGTCTCTGCCGTTGAAGACCAGCTCTGAAGGTTTCGCAGGCTCCTGAGAAATTGCACATGTAAAGCACCATTAGTTTTTTGGGGTGTAAGTGAGCTCAACCGAAGGCCCCTCCCTCCGCTGGCTGTCAGATCTGAGTGAATTTAGCCTGGAATCCCTCTGATGCCAGGTGGCTGGTTTTCAGAGTGGGGACCACAGGGGCCGGGCTCCTTCTGTCTCTTAAGGAGGAAGGAGCTGGTCCCCCAGGCAGGGCCCCAAGGCAGATGAGCTATGTCCCTGTTAGGACCCCTGGTGAGCGCACCTGTCCTGAGGGTCCTCGTGGGTTCTTCGTGGGCTGCAGCGCCGCCCTGCTCACCTGGGAAGAGCCGTCCTGTCCCCTGAATGCACGTCACTCCGTCTCCTCTTGGCTGTGTCCCCACAGCCCCCCTCTGTGGCCCTTGTCACCCTGAAGCTGCCAGGGTGTGTCTTCGACTCCAGGCACAGTTTGCCCCACAGTTTTGGCAAGTTGGCCCTTTAGTTGATTGACCCAGACCCACCTGAAGCAGTCCGGTCGTGTCCAGGACCTGCACCCCTGCCGGGCCCCCCGCTTCTCAGCCCCCTGGACGCCCTGGGCCCTGCCCTGCTCCCCTCCCAGCCACCAGGCCCCTGCCTGCCTGAGAGCTTGGCCCGGCGCCCTCTGTGTCCCGAGAGGCCTTCTGTCCGTCCGTCACGAGCAGCTGGGCTGCAGGGGTGGCTTCCTTCTGGGGGGGCGGCAGCTGGGAATGAGCCCCTCTGGACCTGGAATCACCCGGGTGTCCTCGCAGAGGGGGATTCGGAGAGAAGGGACCCAGCCTCTCCATCCCAAGGCCCCAGCACTGGCCGCTGGAGAGATGGGGACCCTGCAGGCCGACGTCCACACGTGCACACGGTGGATGTGTGTGTACGTGCGAGGCGGAGGGAGAGGCGTGTGGGCCAGGCCGGGTCCCAGGGCTTCCGCTTCCTCTCAGAGGCTCGAGCTTGCAGAGCTGGTCCACGCTGGGCCCCGAGGCCCGGGACAGGCACTGGGCGCGTGGCCAGCGGGAGATCCACGCCCCTGGCCTGCACGGGCCGAGGGCCCCGTGGTTGTGACACAGGAACAGGCTGGACCGCTGTCCACATCCGTCAGCCGCCATCCCTCTGCCCCCTCAGCACCCCCAGCCCTGGGCGACGCCCTCCCCCGCTGGGAGCTGCCACGACGCTGGGGCCAGAGGAGAGGAGGTGGTGACGTGTGGGCACGAAAGGCCCCTTTGTCCCTGGGACGTAGGGGCCCAGCCCTGCGCCTCCGTCCGCCCCCAGCAGGAAGTGGGCTGGGGCTGAGTGAGCCGAGCTCCCGCGGCCAACGAAAGGCGCTGAGTGATCAGCCTGGCCGGCCAGTGCCCCCCTCAGGGCCGGCACCCGCGCGCCCGGGCCACCGCGCCAGGTGGGGACAGGGCGGGGGCCAGGCAGCAGGTCTGCCTGTTTGTTTTGCAGACACACCCACGCGACTGCTGTGCGCCAGGCCCGCCCATGAAGTGGTCCCACAAGTATGGCAGTGAGCGTGCCTGTGAACGTGTGCGCATATCTGTGTACGTCCGTGGTGTACACGTGTGTGCTGTTTCACACGTGTGGGTGTGGTGTGCATGCCTTTGTGGGTGTTTACGTGTGTGCATGTGTCTGCACGTGGGCGTGTGTGACCTCTGCATTCCTGTGCATGTGCACACGTGCACACGTGTGTACGTGTGTGTGAACGTGTGTGGCCAGGCTCTGTGGGCCCTGCCCCTCAAGCTTTCCTCCCTCTTCCTGACTGACCCTCACATGTTGTCCCGTTATGTTTGTGGGGCTCCCCCCAGGAGAATGGGGGGTGCATGTTCCCCCACCGCCGTCACCCCGCCTCTTAGTACCGCGTGTGGGACAGAGCAGAGGGGATGAAGGCTTGGTGACGCCCCGTGCTTTGGGGAAGGGGAAGGAACAGGGCCCGTGTCCTTGACCAAGGGCCTGGAGCGCAGCTGAGCTGCGGCCGGGGGGCGGAGCCTCAGGAGACCCGCCGGCATCCCAGCCCCGTGCGTGCTTGGGGGCTGGCTCGGTCTCTGCCAGTGTCCGTCTACCGTCTCCAGCCCCACGGTCGGTGGCCAAGAGTGGCTTACTTCCTCACCTGACCATGAAGGGTGTGTGTTTTACACATGGACGGGCCAATCCCTGGGCCAGGTACACCACTTGCAGCTTCTTCTCTGTCCCCTTGGTCACCCAGCTTCCCGGGGAGGACGGAGCCCACGGGAAGCACTACTGGCTCGAGGTCCTCTGCTGGCACAGCAGTGCAGGACTGAACCCTTCCCTCCTCTGCTGTCTTGTCCTGCAGGCCAGCCAGGGAAGCGTGGGTATCAGAACCAGGCCTCTGACGTGGCCCATGCTGCCCTGCCCCGCTGGTCTGGGCCAGTGCCCTTCTGGGCTCCAGTCGCTCTGTATGGGGCCTCGCCTCGGCCTCCCTGCCTCCAGAACTGCATTTCCCTCTTGCATGAGGGCAGGTCTGTCACCTGAGAAGGCCACGTTCCTGCTCTTGGCTCCGCTCCCTGGGCACAGCTGGGGTCTGGGTCCCCCCGCCCCGTGGTGACAGGCACAGTACGCTGACAGCATTTCCCTGGGTGCAGCCCAGGAGACAGACAGGAGCACAGGTCCAGATTTTTTTTAGCCACTGTTGAGCCTCTTCCCACGCCGTCTGTCCTGGATGACCCCAGAGAAACCCTCCCTTCTTTCTTTAATTCGTCATGACCGTCTCTAAACCACGCACACAGGGTTTCCGGGGCTTGGCGGGGTGTGTATTTCAATCCTGTCGCTGCCTCATGGGTTTACGGTTTGCATTTGTTGGTGTGCGACGAGGTTTTTGTGTTGTCATTTACTGTCACCAAAATGGTGCACCAGGGACGGCGGGGCTGCTGCGGGGACTTCTGCCGGAACGATGAGCAGTTGAGGAAAAGAGTCCCGAGGGGATGTGCTGGGGAATGCAGCCGCCTGTGGCCCGCGGGTCCTGGCAGGGCCACGTGGAGCGCAAGGCACGGCTGGAGCCGGACCTGCCGTGGCCTAGAGACGTTTCTGGGCAGCGAGATGGCCCGTCCCCCACACCTGCCGTGAGAGCAGAGCCGCGTCTCCTCTTCCGTGGGAACCACGCTGACGCTCAGCTGGAGTGTTTTTCCGCTCTGACTTCAGTTGGCTGCGGGGCATTTCCGCACCGTGAGGTCTCCCGGGCCGTCTTAGCTCAGGCTGCGGTCACAAAGCACCATAGGCTGTAGGTCTCGAACAGCAGAAATTCATTTTCTCGAAGTCCAGAGGCAAGGAGGTTGTGATGCAGGTGCGGTTGACTGGTGGGGACCCCCTCCTGGCCCACAGACCGCCGCCTGCACTGCATCCTACGTGGGAGAGGCTGAGCTCTCTGAGGTCAGTTCCTATAAGGGCACCAATGCTGTGGGGTGAGGCCCCACCCTTATGACCTCATTTAACCTCAGGTACTTCTGTAAAGGCCCTGTTTCCAAGTCCAGCCACTCTGGGGTCAGGACTTCATCCTGCGACTGCAGGGGGCGGGGGTCACAGCTCCGTCCATAGCTCGGCCTAGAAAGGAGCCGGTCTCAGGATGACCAGCTGGCTGTGGGTAGAGAGATGCTTGGTGTGGGTCCAGGTGGGCAGCACACTACCCACGGGCCCTCTGCCTGCCCGTCGATCCCAGGACACTCCCCGCTGTGCTCAGGCAGCTCCCGCTGCTTTGTCAGAATTGGCAGCAAGGGGTCACCTGGGATGCCATCCTTGTCTGTTTTCCAGCCCACCCTTTGTTAAGACTCACCGAGTCACCCTCCCCTGCAGGGGCCCCAAGGCCCAGGCCCCCACAGGCTGAGGCCCCTCTCAGGTCCCCTCTCGCCTTTGTAGGGACAGTCACTGCCTGCAGGACTGGTGGCGTGATTGGCGGCCCGCATGCAAAGTGGAAATGCTGGGACCCTTTAAAAGTTATTAAGAATTTCAAGATGCAGGAAGAGCAGGGTGGGGCCGGGGGGCCGCTGCAGCCGCCAAAGCAGTCGAACCTGCTTTAGAAAGGACGCGCATCACTCCGTCCTACTTCAAAACGACCCGTAGTTCCCAGGTTCCGTGAACAGTTCCATGCATACAGTCGGTGTTCTCTCCATCACAGAGTCCCTCCTTCCAGGGTCTCCGTCACATATGGGTTCCCAGGCCCTCCCGCCACTGCCACAGAAAGGTGGTGGGTTTCCCAGGAAGAGAGAGACGCAGCCCCCTTCTGCCTGGAAGCGTGGGTTTGGAGTCATCAGTGCTTAGCGGCCACGGGGTCTACCTTCCCCACCCCATCTGACAATGACAAGGACTCGAGTCCTGATGTCACCAGCCCTGGGACGTCCTCGGGGGGAGGGGTCCCCTTTGTGGATGAGGCCCCTGGAGGGCCGTGGCCTCCGTACGATCTGCCAGGAGTCCCCACCCTCCCCCTGCCCACTTCCCTCCTAGCACCCACCCAGGCCCCAGGATTGCGGCCTGCAGTCGGGCAGTCCCCACTGCATCTGAGGGGGGTCCTGACCCCCCTCAGATGCAGTGGGGACTGCCCGACTGCAGGTAGGTCGAGACCTACTGCAGGTAGGTCGAGACCTACCCCGACCCCCGCCCACTGCTGTCTTTTCTGGCTCCCACGCAGATTCCAGACAAAGGAGAGAAGTACATTGTTGCCTCCAGGAAGGGAGGTTTTTGAAACTGTCCCCAGCGCCCTCAGTCACTACTTACTGAGTGGCCAATGGCAGAGCTGGTGGTGGGCAGTGAGCGATTGACTGCGAGGCCAGGGAGGGGGCAGCAGTCTGGCCAGGCCACCCTGATTGACACCAGGCGCTGCCCACTGGACCGTCCCGTCCCTGAATTCCGGTGCCGGGAATCGGGCTGCGTAGGTACGGCTCAAGCCCCAGGCCAGCGCTGACAGCTCTCTCTTCTCTCCGCAGCACGAATCATCAAAACAAAGCAGTGGTGTGACATGCTCCCTTGTCTGGAGGGGGAAGGCTGTGACTTGTTGATCAACCGGTCAGGCTGGACGTGCACGCAGCCCGGCGGGCGGATAAAGACCACCACGGTAGGTGCGCGGCGCTGGCTGTGCGGGGGGTGCGGGGGCCTCAGGCAGCAGAGCACACTGGGGCGGGGTGCACCCCACACGCGCGATGACAGGACGGACACACAGGCTGCCAGCCCCGCCTCCTCCAGAACCTCCCTGCTCTGCGGCCGGATCAGTCTGTCGCCGGGCTGCTCAGACCCATCACACGGTCACTGAGTGCCCAGCGGCCCGAGAGGCTGGACAGAACCCCCTCCAGGCCGGTCAGCCCACACGACATTGCCGGTGAAGTTGTCCTGTTTCTGGGCGATGTACTCCCAGCTCCAGGCTGGGGGGACGGTTAGAACCCACAGAAGGGCCTCGGAACGAAGGGCCTTTAAAGAGAAAGGATTGGGGAGGGGCCGTGGGCCTCGTCCAGGCCATCCCCTCGCCCCCCAGGCAGGCATGGTGGCTGTTCGGAGCACAGACCCCGAGAGCCCCCGAGGGTGCCTCTGTCCCTCCTGGATCCCACCGAGAGGGACAGTTGTGGACTCTGGGCTCCCCAGGCTGGTCTCCCGCAGGCTGGGAGGCAGAGGGCGGCAAAGTGGCTTTGGGGCTCTTTGCTCTGAGATTCCTTTCCCAAAGGAAAACTCATTATGCACAGGCTGGGATGGTGTGGGCCAGGGGAGCGGGGCTGCCCGGCCGGGGCCACGGGGACGGCTCTGGTGCTCTGTACGCTGGGCCCGCACAGTGTTGGACTCCGCCAGCCAATTTTCACCCCTCATCCGGGCTCTTCCTCGTGACATTGACGTAGACAGCGGAGGACTGGGGTGGGCTATGGCTCCTGGCCAAAATTCCCGCCTCGATGCTGGGGGACGTTATTTCAGGGAGGTCTGGGGTCTCATGGAAGGATCTGGAGTTCTCCCCTGGCATCCATGGCAGAGAAGCGGGGGCCACGGCCCCTCAGGAATTAGTCTAGAGGAAAACCCACCCCTTCCTGCCCTTGCAGCCTCCGCTGGAGAAGTCAGATGGGCTGTTTCAGCAACGTCCTTAAGAGGCCAATTAGGTGTAGCTGCTCCGAGATGAGACACAGACGCCCTGGTCCCACCGCCGGCAGGGAGGTCGGGTGGGGACAAGCCAGGCCTCCGGGGGCACATTCTGAGGGCGGGGCTGTCAAGTGGAGACGCGGGCCCGGGGCTGCACCCAGACAGCCCATCAGAGGTCTCGGAGGCCTCTTGTGTTGGCGGGAGTTCGGGCGGGGGGCCCTGCCTGCAGCCTCCCCTTGCAGGCCTGGGGGTCCGTTCCGAGCAGGGCCGCCCACGAGGAGCGGTGGGCTGGGCTGCAGCAGGCGCCCCCGGGTCCCCAGTTGTTGAAGCCGCAGCTGTGCGCTTGTCTGAGCGTCGGCCATGCTTGTTCGTGCACGTGCAACGCGGAAGCGAGGGATCTGTCGTCACACCTGGCAAGTGTGCGGGTGTGCCAGCTCCTCACCTGCCACCTGCCTCACTGCTCCGGGAGCGGAAGGGCCTCTGAGGTGGGGCCGCTGCCTCCCCGACCGTCTAGGAAGCAGCTGACCTTTCCGGGAGCGGAAGGGCTTCTGAGGTGGGGCCGCTGCCTCCCCGACCATCTAGGAAGCAGCTGACCTTTCCGGGAGCAGAAGGGCCTCTGAGGTGGGGCCGCTGCCTCCCCGACCGTCTAGGAAGCAGCTGACCTTTCCAGGAGCGGAAGGGCCTCTGAGGTGGGACCGCTGCCTCCCCGACCGTCTAGGAAGCAGCTGACCTTTCCAGGTTTCCCGAAAGGTGGAGACTGGGGGACAAGCAGACCCCTGGACCCCAGGGCCACCGCCCCCAGATCCGTGGGGCCCGGGGTCAGCGTGTGGATGTGCAGGGGGCCCGGGCCAGCCCTGGTGCGGAGGTGCTGCGTCGGGGGTCTTTTGAACGAACACCCACAGGAGGTGAGGCTTGGAGGGGGCTCCGGGCCACCCGCCCTCCGTGGCGGGCCTGGCTGTGCATGGATGCGGGGTCAGGCCTGCCCTCCAGGTCGCGTGGCCCCAGGCAGCACCCCTCAGTCTCCTCACGGTGAATCGGGGCATCTCCTCCCATCAAGCCCCCGAGCCCGTCCCGGCTCCCGGCGCCCTGCGCCCCCGCCCCTCGGAGGTTCTGGGGGGCCTCTACGTGCAAAGGGCGCCCCTTTGGCAGCCCCAGCACCCTATCCCTGCAAGCGCAGCCTCAGGTCCTCAAGTTGCTCTAAGACGTTTGCTGGGAAGGTGCAGACAGTCGTTTTCTTCGGACTCACGGGTCTCGGGGCTCAGAACCATCACCTCGGGTTTCCAGCCGTGAAAACTGCAGCTGGGGTGGCTGAGGGAGGCCACGGCCGGGGGTCAGTGAGCCGTGGAGGTGGCTCTGCCCAACTCAGACGGGGCCTTGGCGCTGCAGAAGGCCCACGCGTCTTCCAGGTGAGAAGACAGTCTTTGATGCGCGCATCCTGAGATCAGCCCGCCCTGGAGAGCACCTCGTGCTGGAACAGGTGCATTAGGAGAAGCCCACAGTCCAGGCAGGAAGGCCCCGCCACACCTGGGGCAGGTCAGGGAGGGGTGCACCCGCTCAGGGCCCCTTCACTCCCCCGGCGGGAGGCGCTCACACTCGGAGACACGGCCAAGTGGCCGGACGTGTTCTGTGACAGTGACCTCCCGCCTATGTGCTGGCCCGCAGGGTCGCATCCCCACCGGGGAAGTGGGCCCCGCGTGCTTGGGTTGGCAGATCCCGCTGAGATGACCCTAGGGGACCAGCGAGCTCTGTCATCATCCCAAGTGTCTGCAGAGGTGACCCTGGCCTGTGTGCGGAGACCTATTTTCAAAGCTTTCTTAAAAGCTTACTTGAGCTCTTGACCCAAACACCTTATAATTGAAGCACGTAATCCCCTTCCACGATGGCATCTCGGACCTCTTACAGACGGCAGAGTAGCACTGTGGGGTTTCACATTTTAGCATAAATTGGTTTTCCGTGAGGGGGGCTGTAAGACACCTCAGGATTGCTTGGCCACGTGACTGCTAACTCATCCCAGGTGCCAGGGTCTCAGCCCAGCGCCCCTGCGGCCAGGGCCACGTCCGGAAGTGGCTGTCACCGCCCCCCCACTGCCTGGTCACGCCCCACCCCCTTCTCTGCATGGGCCATGGCTGCTCCCTTCTCTGTGTCCCCAGCAAACCATGAGCTGCCTGAGGGCAGGCGCAGGCCTTGTGGTCCCGCCAGCCCGGGTCCCTCTTTCGGGGCTCCCATACATCCATGTGATAAATTGACTAATGGGTTAGCAGAGCCCAGACCCCAGGCACATGCTGACGTTTGCATCTCCTACATCACCTCTTTTTAAAGTGCAGGTCGTCACCCCATTAGTGGGTCGTGAAATTAATTTAGTGGCTCACGATCAGCGTTTTAAAGAAAGAGGAAGAAACAGAATAAAAACATCCAGGAGCATCTGTGTCTTGAGGGCAAAAGCTGCTTCGTGAAGCGCACACAGGGTCACAGGTGAGGTCACGCGGGTACCAGGACAGGTTGCAGTGAAGAGCTGGGGACCCGGCATCCCGGAGGTACTCAGGGCGACGGGGGGGACCTGGCGTCTGTGGCTCCCGCGATCCCTGTTCCGAGGGCTGCCTGTGACGTCGGTCGGCACCGGGCAAGTTGAGCAGGTGGACCTCACAGGCCCTCCCCAAGGTCGCAAGCAGCATCCCCTCCTTGGCCCTCTCGCGGCCCCTTAGAGCAGAGCTGACCGGGCAGGCAGAGGGGAGGGAAAAGGCCAGGCCCCGGGTAGGCGTGAGGCCCCCACGAGTGGAGCGCCGTCCTGCCCACCCTCGGCTTCTGTCCAGATATGAGCAGCTGGGGCGGCGCCCGGGCTTCAGTGGCACTCAGGACAGTCGGATACACGCTCCATCTGCCACGCACAGTGCTTCTGTGTTAAAGATGTTCTACAGTAGCTGCTATAATGAATACCTCCTGGACCAGAGCAAACCACCTGGTTGAATCCGTCTCTCAGATGAACAATTAAGTCCTACGTTTTAATTCTGTGCTGCGTGGACACGCCACCGTGGGGGGCAAGGGGTATTCTGGGGGGTGTCTGTACAATCTACTCCAGGACCTTGGATGTCATGGAAATTCATGACAAGATAAGCGCTTTCCCAGGAGCTGCCTCTGATCACCTTTGCCCCAGGAAGTCCAAATTCTGCCCAGGCCCAGGTGTCCTGGACCTGGGAGTGCACAGCAGCGAGGTGCGGACGGGCCCCCGGGGGGCTCCCTTGGGTCCCGGAGGGACGGAGGAGTGCCCAGCTCTGCCTGAAGCCTGGAGGCCTGCGGCTCATAACCCCTGCCTCCCTCATCTTGTCGTGAACTGGCCGTGCTTGGGCCGGGCAGCCCGGCACTTAGGCCAGCGTGCACTGCGCACACTGACCCACATCCAGGCCCAGGCAGCTCTTACTGTCGCTCCTCCGTGCCGAGTGTCTATCCTCCACGTGGCTGGTCCAGGATTGAAGAGCCAGCCCGATACGGGGCAGGGAGTGGGGAGGGAGCAGTGCCCCTTCTGGTCGTCGGTCCTCACCGTCCCAGGGCCGGCCGGCCTCACCCGGGCTGCCCCCGCAGACCCAGTGCCGCCCCACCCAGGAAGCTTGGAGCTTCCGGAGGGAGGAGTCCTAGGTCCGACCTGGAGGCCTCTGCGTTCCCGGATTCAAAATGTACTACCCAAGGGTCTCGTGTGTGTCCAGTGTGGGCCCCTCCCACCGAGATTCCTGAGAAAGGCTGTCCGGGGCCTTCTGTCCAAGGAGCTCACCCAGCACGTGGCCCAGGCCTCCACGCTTCAGCCAGGGTCCTTGTGCCAGGTGCCCACCCAGGGCTGGACACACAGAAGGAGGAGCCTCGGGGGCCCCGAGCACTGGACCCCTCACGCTGGGGCTCACGTTCTCGAAGGGCAGTCAGGGGCACTTTGCAGGTGCTTGTACCAGGCTCCCAGGTGTAAAGAACAGAATACACGCTTCCCACTTCTGCCCACTGGAAACCCCTGGATGT